TGTAAACATTGCATTATTGGTCCCTGGACTACTGCATTGTACATTATATATGTTGATATTCATGAACCGAAATTGAATTAAATTGAATTGAATTGAAAAGAGATCTCCACCTTTAAATGAATGAAACAATGAGGAATGATAGTTGTATGAAATGTGAAAATATCAGTTTATTAATAAAACATGTACATATAGAGATAAAATGAAAGGCAAAATATTACCTGGTCTTTATATCCCAGAAGCTGCATGTTGGTGAAAAGTATTTCTGACCGATCATCTGCAGTGAAGTAGGAGGAAAAGTGATGAACAAACGTTGCAAGTTGCCAATGTACTTATAACTTTCTGTAGAATCTGATTATAAATGCTATTTCCCCAATTTCGAAGGTCCTGAAAATGAATATACCTGTCGTCATTTTTCTAAATGACGTATTCGGCTGTTGCATGGTAACGAATTATTGTAATTAACATTAGGATATTCATTATCAAACAATCACAACATAAGTAATGTAAGTGGTTAAATAGATCTTTTTCCAGCTACCCTTTTGACATTCATAACAAATACCAGTCTTCTCAGATCAAAGTTATGCTTGAACATTGCGGTTGCCATGGTAACGTCTGTAATCTTAGAAAATAACAGTTCTTTAATGAAGAAAAAACAAATAGAATTGTCAAAATATATTCATTTTTCTTTCTAAAAGTTTGATTACCATTATGATATTGATCATTCTAAGTCATAGTGTAGAAGAAAAAACATTTATGTATCTGAACATAACTAGAATACAAAAAAAATTGTTTCAATCTCGATGAGGGTTTTAAGGTACCTGTCACGATGGCTTACGGACATTCCTGACAGAAGGGTTGCCATGACAGCAAAACTCTAAAAAAAAAGATTAAAAAAAGAGGTATGCCTCACTTATGAAATCAACAACGAAAGAGTATGATCTAATACGTACCAGTGTAAAAAAAAATCGAAAAAAGAACCGTACCCCTCCAAACGATATGGTTTAATCGAATGTTCTTATACAACAAGAAGTCTTGGCCATCCTACTCTGCTTCTTGACAAATAAACTGTTTTATGTTTGAAAATGACAGTGTTATTGCAATGGTAATAAATTTGGCCCAGTCTTTGTAAAGTAACAAGTACTGTACAAAGAAAGATGTATATGGGACTACAAAAATGGTGTTGGGCCTAAAGGATTAGTTGATATACAAATAAATAAATTTATATATATATATATATATATACATATAGAAATTAGTAACCATATCAGTATGATATTACAAATATATGTGTCTTATTTCAAGCATCATGTTTGATGGCAATGTAAGTTATTCAAGGTAACATCCGAATTTTGAACAAAAATTATGTAATTTTTTAATGAAAAAAACAATTTAAAACATAATAGAAGTGATCCTGGATAAATCTATTGTTAATTGAAACCTTAAATGTAGCGTCATGTAGATGTGATTTGTTAACACTTTTTTGCAAATAAATCTTTGACCTGTCAGCTTTTCTGGCAATTGCACCTACCAACAATTTAATGGCAAAACGCGCATAAGGATTGCCGAGTCTTCTGGATTACCAACAAAATAATAATAACAAAAAACAGGACATGAAAATAGAGTAGCACTTTTCCAAAGGTATAGGGTACTTTTGCAATGAAATTAATCCTTGCACATTATCATTTGTTAAAGAAAAGTATACCTACTTTGCCTTATGCAATATGATGTTGTCAAATACAAGGAATTTGTTCATTACAGTTCCGAATTTGAAGGCTATCTCTTCGCACTTTCCTATCTCCATGTGCAATGAGATATTCTACTAATTTCAATACATCTACACCGTGCCTTAACAAGAATATTTTCACTGATTGAAAGTAGACATTCGAATATTTGCACTTACACAATTGTTTCATTTTTTTGTTTGGATATTGGATTAAGAAATTTTTTTTTTTTCTTTAACTATAAAACGCTACCATATCGTTACCAAAGCAGCGACAAAGTTCTGGCAAAAGAAGTATAACTTTGAATGATCAGGATTTTGATAGCAATCAAACTCTTAGCATGAAATAGATATACAAAGACGTCACGATTCTATATGTTTAAAAAAAAAATCCAACTAGATCTATATGGTATTTTTTTTAATTACATGCAATACCATGGCAACCGCAATATTCGAGCATTACCGTGACCTAGGTAGACTGAGATTTTTGTTAAAATAAAATGGGTAGCTGGAAGGAAATATATCTACCTAGCCACTTACATTGTATTTTTTGGTTGTCGAATGAGAAATATATTTCATTTTCAAAAATCATTACCATGGCAACGGCCAAAGTCGCCATTATTAAAAAATGGCAATAGGTAGATTCCGACGGTACTCACAGTAGAGTGGATAATAGTAAAGCTGAATGGAATAGACACCAACTCGTGACCAATGAATACAGCTGCCGTTATGACATTACTCGCAACTCGAAGGTTGACATCATTATTTCCGGTGGTGGCGTTGTTAGCTGTCTTGTTATTAAGGAGGTCGGCAAGACGTGCGGACGTAACAATCCCTAAAGTGACAGGCTGCTGGTCAATTCCATCTGCAGAGGGTGTGAAATCCATTTTAATTCCATTTTAGTTCACTCAAATCTTTACGAGGTTATCATATCTTCTTCCTAGAAATGTTTACAATATTCGTTAGTTTTTTAGGGTTTAGGCATTAGCCACATTTGCTGCGGCGGCTGTGCATGGGGTCTAAAATATCTAAGGCCAATAGCAATTATAGGGCCGCCGCAGCATTCCTACGGTCACATACGGTAGCAGTCACATATTATGTTAGGGTAGCCGCACGGCGTATTTTGAACTTCTCGGAGACAAAAAACCTACGGCTGCCGTACGGACTTTCAAGTGGAGACGCATTGTCGTTTTAGGGCGTCCCTGCGGCGGACATAGGTTTTTGACCAATACCAAAACAGACGCAAGGTAGCCACAATGTCACCATACGCCCGACGTATGGTCGCCGTGGAACCTTTCTACGGCATGGCTACGGTGTGTCTTATTCTCTTATTGCGACGGCGAATCTAGAAATGAAAATAGTTATAACTCCGCGTTATAATCACACGGCGACCCGTACGGCCTGTAACGATAGAGATACGCCCTAGGGTGACCCTGAGACAACCGCAGATTCTCTGCGGCCGCCGCAGGTATCTCTCGATTTCGGTGGCCTACGGCCGCCGTATCCTAGCCGTAGAGCAAATGTGACCTAGGTATCAGGCATAATAAAGTGGAAGAAAGATGTAACTGTTATCATCATTGACAGTGTATAAGCATTCCTTTTTGTATAACTATTGATACTGAACTCATCTCTACAGGTGTGGGTGGGTTGGGTGAGCGAGAATGAGGGTGTGCGCGGGATTGATAACTGAATAGTGTATGAACGTCAAGTGGGAAGAGCACTAATGAGCACTACTGACACTAATTTAATGTCTTCATGACCCCCTACCTTTGGATTGGTCATTCCTTTCACAGAAATAGTTTGCGGGCAAAGAAAACTGATTTCCGTTCAGGCTGGTGTCCGTCCATTCAGTAGCACACAAATCTTCGAGTACAGATCGGTATACATAGATATCTAGCGTGAAAGTGTTTCCAGGTAGGAGAAATAGATAGAATGTGGAGAAAGAGAAGTGGTTGAATAAAGGAAATTATTTGGAAAAGAGGAAACTGTATTATGGGAACATAAAATCTTGAGAAACAATAATACGCTTATTGTAAACGATGCTTTTGAATGCACTTTCTCAATCTACATGTATAACATTGAAAGTTACTAGGGTCCCGTCTTATAAAGAGTTGCGCTGATCCAAATCAATCGGAAGTCCTATAATCAATCGCCAATTTGCAGTTCGTTTTCTTTTGAGTACATAGTTGCCATTGATATCAATCCTAAATAAGTTGCCACTGATATCAACTCTTTATAAGACATGCATTCATGTGAAAATTATGCAGTTTAGCATATATCACTGACACATTTACATAATGGTTTAAAAATACTAATAAATCATGACTTTAAAAAGTTTCATTGGATAAAAAAAAAAAACGCGTTTTGAGATTTTCGCAAGTAACATCTCGCTGTATTTTCATTCTTTGAGGCACCCTGCATGCTAATAATACCTACCACGATTATGAAAATTCAAGCCTCATAATTCTAAAGTTCTTGACTGTTTTCTTTATCTTTAGGCACAAAAATACAATGCTGATCAACTTACTATTGACTTCAATTGATTGTCCTGTACTGAGATTCATTCCAATATCGAAGACCATCTGCTCTATGATGTCAGGGTTCAGAAGAAGCTGAAGATACTCCTATATCAAACAGATGTACGCCATTATTATAATTTGTTTTAATTTGTCAGTTTCTGACACAACACTCTAATATGCGGTGTATACGAGATCGTTCGAAAAAGTTTAAAACTAATAATGTTGTGATAAATTTACGGATTTTTAAGTTCAATGCAAATGCGAGTCGGTTCCCAGCTTCCATCTTGGTCTGGCACTTTTTCTTTAAAGTTTAATTTATACACAAGAGCTTTAAAAAACAAAAAACAATTTCTCTTTCTCGAAAATTTTATTGTTTTCAATGGTTGTCATCATAAATCACAAGGACTATGCATGCTTTTGACCAAAAAAACCTGCCATAGATTAACACGTAAATCATGGATTTAATGATCGTTAACCTTCCTAGTATTTCCTTCAAATGTATTAATAATTGACTAACTTAAATTACAGAAGAAATACAAAGTCTCCAGAAGTGGAAGAGACACCGCATTAATCACAGGGACTATGCATGCTTTGAGAAAAAGAAGGGGGAGGGCAGGCCAGATGTTGTTACATGTCAAAACGTTTGCTGTTATTTTTGACGGGATGTGGACCTCTACGCACTTCGTGCTACGCATCGATTCTTGTGCATGTACCACTAACTATATTCTCTCGTGCTTAGTATAGGGACTCATAACTCTTCCCTAGTCAAAGCTCTTATAGTAGCCGTGGCCCTTGAGAGATATTATCTCAGTCTGCTGTGTAGATGAATCATTCAGACCAGGTGTATAAGATGTAGAAGTATACATAGATACTGCAGTGATATCTGGAGGAGAACTCACTGATGCGGTCAAGGTGTGGTCGGATGTAGGCGAAGATGAGGAGGTGAGGGATGGAGAAGTCGTTTCCAACGGTACACTCGTGATGGGTTCATTGGTTGGTGAGTCTGTAGAAGACGTGCATTTAGTAAATGTCGATAGCGTAGATCCATCTAGTGGATTTGTGAGCATAGTCGTCTTGTAATCGATGCCAAAGAAAGTGCAGGGGATTTCACCGTAATACTTAGACCCTTCAAAATATCCTATGAAGTTTGCTTCGAACAGAGAACTTCCCGAATCTCCTGAATATACAACAATAAAGAGCACCGATAAATCATATGAAGATAGAACCTGTAAATTACGCATATTTCGTTTCGTTCAAAGGAGGACTATTGTCCTAGCTTCTATTCCTAAGTTATTAACCATAAATTTGAATTAACTCGATGAATCAAGATTTGTCAAACTCCATCTCTTTCACCTCCAACATCCTACGAAACTGTACATTTCATACACAGGATTTGCTAGCCCTTTTCAAATGGGTGTGGTTTAACGAAAATGCTGACCCGGTAGCTGAAGTCGACAAATCTCAAGATACACATAGCCACAATGAAAGATATTATGATCAAATGTTATAAAATTATGATTATGACGTGATGATTATCACACTAATAACAACAGTATCGTTATTGATAGTAGCAGTAGTAGTAGTTATTATAACAATAAAGATATAGAAAATAATAATGAAATCATTGATAATAAAAATGATTATGAACAATATTGAAGTAATAAGAGTAATGACATCAACAGCAATGGTATAACAAATAGCCGTAAGTGTAATGCTGTTGATATTTTGTTTGAATTAAAGGTCTATCTACTACATTCATATCGGACAAACTACTAAATGTTTTACTTTACATTATATAGAAAGGCTGGTACTCATACGCAACAAATACGTTCGTTAACCTTAACTGTCTAAGGTCATCCTAATTCAAAATGGCCTTACATCAACAAACCCATCACTTATTTTGATGAATGGATACATCACATGCGTATTCTACAGGCAGGACTGCATCGATGAAGACTATTTCAACGTCAACCAACATAGCTTTGCCTTGGTTTAACAATCAAGAAGAACTGAGTAGAGTAGTTAATCATAGCTGAGGCAATCAAGAAGGCCTTATATCAAACAACCCATGCGCTTAGTTTCATTAATGGATACATCACCTGTGTATTCTACAGACACGACTGCATCGATAAAGATGTAACCATAGTCCACATTAGCACTTTCTCCTAGTGCAACCCCCAAGCAGTACTGGGTAGAGTAGTTAGCTAGTATCATGAAGGCCAAACTCCCACAGGTATAGGTGTCACCACAGTGAACAATGTTGTTAGCTGCCTCCGTGGCATCCACAGTCGCTGTAATAGTCCCTCCATCCCCGTCATCTGAGTTGACCGTCACGTTAGCAGTGGTGACCTGGATGGAGTCTCGTGATGAGCCATCCGGACACGCAGGGAATTTTGGATCGCATGGATACTGGGCGATATCTTTGCAGCGAATCAAACAAAACAAAACAGTACATATCTAAAGTAAACATTCACATTGTACAATATGCTATTACCAAAGAAGAAAGGGGAAATAATTGGAAAACCCTAGAATAGTAAATGTGCAGTAGGTACAATGAACAAATAGTGCACTGTTGCGAGTGTGTTAGCGCAGGGCCAGTGCACGAAGTTTGGTCAAGGCCCATAGTGATAATGCACGCACTGACTAAACTAAGTGCACTGGAACTGCCCTAACACACGATCGATACAGTGCATTATTTGTTATATAAGACGGATAGGCAATAAATACAATATAGTCTAGATCTAGAGTATAAATATAAATTAGATCTAGATCTAAGTTAGATCCAACTAGATCTAGGCCTAGAATATTCTAAACTAGATCTAGATATTGACAATCACGCACAAATCAAATTTGGCTGAACTACGCGTTAGACATATCGGCAGGTATCGAGCGTGTGTTATCAATTTTTGTTGGGAGCTTTTTTTGCACGGTGGGAAAACTATTGTACGCCCACGTGATGTCAATTGACCAATCGGATTGCTTAGATTCTAGAGCCCGTCTTATACTACATAATACCAGAGTGAGTGCAACAAAAGTATCTCTTATGAACAAGGCGTGCAAAAGGGTCTAATCTTCCTTTGACATCGTAGAGAAATCATGACAAAATAGTTGACGCATTGCGTAGTGCATTTCAGTTGTCATGGGGGGGAGTCATGATAATATCGAGGATTTGTACATGTATATCCCCTGTCACTCCACCGTCTTCTGGAAACGGTTGAAACCTATTCATTGCCCCGCCCCTCAAATATTTGATTCACTTACACTCTGAACATTACTAAAAGATCAAACTCAACCTCTAAGAGACAGTAACTTTCGACCGTCTGATGCTTTTGGTCTTTTATCTCGCATATACTTTTCCTCAAAATTCATTTATATTGAAATATAGAAGCCATTACCTAAGCGTCTTTGGTAGCGTGTTTGGTAACACTGTGGCTCTCCACTTGTGATAGGTAAAAGCTGATTCCGTATTTACACCAAAGTATGAAATATAAAAAGAAACAAATCATGGTTACAAGAAAATAAGGAAACGAAGATGTGAACAATTTTGGGACCACAGTAACATAATCCACAAGATATAAACAGGTGGTAAATAATTGGAGATAAATGTTACTTGAGCCAAATCTGTATTAACACTCCGGTATTTATAATTTATCATAAACCTTCGCCTATTCCTTCAGATTTATTTTCCCGAATTCACAAAGGAGGTTTGTCGACAAACCTCCTTTGTGAATTCAGGCCTGAGAGTATGGTTTTCGTCTTTTAATGTTTGTTTGATTAATAGCTTAAAGCAGCCATCATATACAAATATAACTATATATCAATGGAAAGCTAATGACCTCAGATATCTAGAAGAAAAAAATTTAAGATATTTGTTTATACTTAATCATTCAGAAATGACAATGTATAAATGAAATATGTCCAAAATCAGAAATCAACAAAAATGGCGCCTAGATGACGTCACGCATCAGTAAAAAAAAACAAAAAAAAAAAACAATCTCTTCTTTAGATCACCTAATTAACAACATATGTAAGTTATCTTGCGATCGCTATTGCAGGTTATGATTCGTGGTTAAATCACACTGACCAACAAAATCACATCAAATTAAACATGACCGTGAGATGTTGGTAGCTAGTTGGCTTTAAAAAAGATTTATTTCAAAACTTCAGGAAGTATACCACCAAGCTTATTCCAAAACCAGTTACCGTAAATAGAATTCTACAAAAAAAAAAAACGTCATTTCAAGGGGTGTTATTATTTGCTCAAGATTCAAGGACAGTGTGTGTCGTATATTGGTGAGTGTAGGCTAATTGAAACAAATTTCCAAACACTCTTTGTTGTAAAAATTACATATTTTACCCTTTTCTCGATTGAAATTACTCCTTAACACTCGTTTTCTTCACCGGCTTCCGACTGCAATCTTTTGCCGTTTAGTTTGGTTCTTAATTCGCGATGATTCACGTCGTTGAAATCTACCCGCTCACGATCAAATATAGTCGACATGTAAACACGTATTTTTTAATTCAGAAATTATACTAAATTGAAAACTGGCCCATCTATACCATCAATATCATCGTTACTGGATTCATACGATGAATACTGCAAATCAAAGTAATTGTCTAGCCTAAATTCACTCATTATATGGATAATAAATCAATTAAATTGAAGATAATATGGCTGCTATCGATCGTCAAGCATATGTTTATACGTCGTTATGTGAATCCGGAAATGGCATTGCTTCAATCGCCTACGTATCATCGAAGCGCCCAGTTTGTATGATATTAGTTTCGTTTATTGGGGAGGGGTGCTAAGATTCAACTCTAAATTTCTGATTGTGGTCACATAGTTATTTTTAGTGAAAAGATATGACACGTTTCACTTTCTTTCGATCGTAAGCTTTCATTTGACAAGCAATGTCTATTTTAATCAATGTCTATTTTAACAATGGGCACGGACTTGACATTGACTTGATTTCGAGCCTAAGAGACCATTGATCTACCACTGAGCTATTGCACCTCCTCAAGTCTGAGTGTGTCTCAAAAGTATCTTGACACAGTTGCACAGACTTTCTAGAAATACATTTAAGGATTATTTGTTTGATTGTCATAACCGTACATTTCAAAATTTCTCCAAGGTTATATGGAAATTGGTTGATTTAGGAAGACTTTTGCGATAGTGTTCTTTTGTTTCCTTCTCTAAACAACCGGCTTTTAAGGGGTCATGAACTTTCGTAAAAAGTAGATCTTCTTTCGTGTCCATCATCTGAGCTCAAATGTTCTTCCAGGCGCTTTCACACCGCAGAGTCTTCTCATTTGCTGCCACTAGGTCTTCCAGGCAGGATTGGTCATCTAGGAGAGTGGGCATCTTAAAAGGTGTGGCATATATTGCACGAATGTTCCACACTCACAGTCTGTGTGTGTGTGTGTGTGTCATCTGTGTATCCCCATTTATGCGTTGTATTTGCATCGCCCAACCCCTGTGGATAAATCCAGGAGTAAATCGGTCGGGGTAAAGGTAGGCGTAGCGAACACGACCATTGTTCAGACGATCACTACCCGGACCTTTACGCCGACCTCTCCATTTTTACGCCGACTAGCTTTTAACACGACCTTTGCCCCGACCACAATTGCCATCGCCTTAATAAGACTATATGACCATAGATATTCACCATGGTATAATCATTATCTTTAATGGTTATGGCTGTACATATAAAACGATCTGATTCACTAATCGATGTATGGTTCATTGCATAATTTAAACCCGGTCGACAGAAGTATCATTACTCCGCATGAATGGTTTGCACCATTTCATAACAAAAGAAATCTCCTCTGCCATTCTTCTAACCAATCAGATTCTTCTTTAAGGCCCCGGTCACACAGAGGGGACGCATGGGGGACGCACGGCCAGCGCATTGGAAATTTGCAATTTGGGCCAGTGCGTTGTCGTTCGCTAGGCGTGCGTCATCAATCGTTACTCGTTCGTCGAGCGCGCGTGACCCACGCTATGCATTCGTCGTCATTCGCTGTTTGCGTCGGGATTTTTTGAACATGCTCAAAAGTGTGCGCGGAGCTCGTCGCATGAATGTACACGCCAATAGCACGCCAGACATGCGTGGAGCGCGCTAGACTAGCGCCAGACATACGCGGAGCACACGCCCTGTATACGCACAGCGCGCTAGCTACACGCTGTGCATTTTGTGTCAGCTCGCTAGCTTTTCCAAAATCATGACAAAAGTTAGGCACACGGCCTTTTCCGATTTCCAAAGCGCGGGCCGTGCGTCGTCTGTGTGTGACCACCTCTGTTGAGAACGCGGTGCATGCGTGGACCATTCGTCCAGCGCGCTAGCAACACGTTGTGCATTCGTGGAAGTTGTTATCATGTGCGCCCTGTGTGCGGTCTCTATGCGCTCAGCGCGCTAGCAACACGCTATGCATTTGGTGTCAGCTCGCTGTAGCTTCGACAAAAGTTGGGCGCACGACAACGCACTGGCCAAAATTGCAAATTTCCAATACGCTGGCCGTGCGTTCCCCATGCGTCCCCTCTGTGTGACCGGGCCTTTAGCAGAAATATATGTTTTCTTGATGGAATTTATTATATCAATTTTTGCCCTCCAACCAACAGAATACCCCTTTTCTTCTATATTGGGATCGAATACATCTTACTTTGAATAATATGAATAATAATTGTGTATTATCTAAAATAATGTTGAATGTAATGAAAACCCAATACTTTGAAACAAGCAAAGTTTCGTCAGACATGTATCTTTTTCAGTGATAGAAAGTTTAGAAATATTGTGAACAAATATAATACTAGAAGTCACATTATGTTTACATAAGCTAGGTTTCACAGTATAGTATTAATGACTGCTTTGAGAGAAATAGTTGTTTTTATACGCTCTCGGGAAGGTTAGAATTGTGCTATTCCCCGAGGCGTGCCGAGGGGAGTAGCCCAATTGTAACCTTCCCGAGAGCGTATAAAAACAACTATTTCTCGAATATTAAAGCAGTCATTAATACTTTTATATGCCGTAAAAAAAAATTTAAAAAAAACTTTTGTCGAAGCTGGGATTCGAACTCTTGCTTACAAAAGGTGATGTAACTTCAGTCAGCGCCTCAAACCGCTCGGCCAGCGCGCACTGTCACCATGTACAATAGTTTTCTTTAATATATACATTAAAATGAATTAAAAACGGCTTCGCGTGGTCGATGCTTCGCCGCTGCTCCATTAAACGGGCCCTTCTTTTAGTTTTGCAATGCATATTGGCACGAACTTAGATCAAGATCTATCGGCAGATGTTGTTTTTTTGTTTTTTGAAGTTTATTTTCGTCTTCATGTCAACAATGCAAGATAAAATTGTCGGTAAGATCGATCGAGATTCAATTGTATCGAAATTACCGACCAATTCTTCGCACACGTACGGTA